TAACTGCTTATTCACCGGACCCGAGAGCCTGCTTTTTTTCCTAGCCGAGTCTTGCAAGGACCGTTTCCTTATCACCCACCTGTGAACACGTGGAGTAGCCAACAGCTAGACTAACGGGGAACCCTGTTTTCCAAAATTCACACTTTACGACCAACCAATAGGAAATTTTAAATCCAGAACGGTTTGGCGGCAGGTGCAGCGATGATGCCTTAGGGTTCGATCGTCACACCCGGTCGTGGGCGCAGATCGTGTAAAATCCATTGCAGATGACGTACATGTAAAGTAAAGTTCACCAACGGTTGGGGTTGCCACTAATTCTTCAATAAGAATTTCTCACTGGAGGAGTATCGTACCCCGTAAAGGTGAGAATACTATAAAGTCCATCTCAAGAAGGAGCCATTATAGCCTCGCTCTCGGCTCTGGTCAATACCGAGATATAAACTGATTTTGAAATCCTCCGCATCACTACTGTTTTTATTCGTCCGACGTTTCGGATCCACACCCGAATTCATCATCAAAGACGATATCAATTGCGGTTACGCAACCTGGCGTCAGAGATAGTGCCAAAGACACAAGTGCAGGCAGTGGAAATAATGCCACGGCAAAAAATATCTGGAGCTCTCTATCGGATCTGATGCAGTCGCGGACAAAGCAACTACCTTGAAAAAACTGAAAGACTTCTCAAGACGCCGAACACACGGTAGCGGTGCGGATGAATGATGTCAGTGCCCAAGTCGTGGCTCATTCAACGAGACCCGGCCACACATTCAAATTTGATGAGACCGAAATTCTCGCGAGAGGTGGCAATCATGCGAGCCGCGAGTCGCTTGAATAATTGTCTATGGGCCCCACTCTATCAACCAGTGCGATGAATTGCCGAATCCATATTCAGTGTTGAGACTCAGTTTGGCCAAAGCAATTCGTCACTCGGGGAGCGCACGGGCGAACGCGGCCAAGCGACCGGATAGTCGGGCCATCATCACGCCTAAACCCAGCACGGGTTATGAAAGTTCAGCAGGTCACGACCCGCACACTGGCCATCAAGCAATTAGCGCGCAAACAGGCAACTATCCTCGATAGGAGGGAGCCGTTAATTGTTATAGGTATTAGGCAGATAGTATTGCCGGCAAAGACCATGGAGACTCGAATGGTCATTTCTGGCTTATTAGCCGTCATCAGCCAATCATACCCAGAACCAAGTGGTGCCCCATCCGAGCCTCGATCTGGCGACCTTTTTCCTCAGAATCAAACGCCCTAACCATTGAGCCTCGAGCTCGATGTCTCGCCAGTTTAGGTCAGGGGATATTGACACTCGTTGATTAACGTTCACCTGACCCCTAACGGAACTCATCTGTCCCGCTCTGCCTTGGGCCTCGACAGGTTCCCTGACAGGCGTAACATCTGGTAGTAGGCAGATAGTATGGCCGGCAAAGACAAAGGAGACTGGAATAACAATTTGGGATTATTAGCCGTCGTCAGCCAGTCATACCCGGACCCAAGTGGTGCACAACCGGAGCCTCGAACTCGCAACCCCTTTTGGATTAAAGTCAAACGCCCCACCCATTGAGCCACGAGCCTACAACCAACTGTTACGACTGTGAGAGCCTCTCTCGAGACTCAAGACAGAGCGGGGCAGATGAGTTCCGTTAGCGGTCAGGCGAACTTTCAGTGTTATAGGTATGCAGCAGCATAGCGACTGTATCCTATAAATACCACAAGTTCTTGTGTATTAGTTACCCGTTTCTGCTACTGTTTCTGACGACGGATCCGCGACGGAAGCCGGAACGAATAAGGTTCTTGTCCCAGAGATCACATCTGCTTTTTCCCAAGCGCAGTTGTTATGGCCTAAAGCCTCCTTCATAATAGCAGTGATAGCAGCACCAAACCTCGTGGCTCACTGCTCAAGAAAGTCCCCTCACGTCGTTACTATGACCTGGAAGATGGTGACAGTGTGAGTAGTCAGTCACATGACAGGGTCGCGCGACCCTACCATGTTTGAAACCACTTTAGTGCCTCAGGTCACGTTACTAGATAGTTAGATGCTGGCTAGGACATTTAGCCCGGGAATTCTTAGAAGTTGTTAACTCCAAACAGTTGTGGCTCTACGCGCT